CCTTACCTTTTCTTTCTCCATTCGTGACTTCGTGTTTGAGGCCAGGCTACGAACAAACGGAACCAGCGAAGAGAAGAAGCATCGATACCTACCCTTGATCGTGGAGGTGGAATTACAACGAACGATTTTGCCGCAACACAGCCTGATACCTTCGCCGCAAAACAGCAAGATTAGGTAAATACAGAGAAGTACTAAAAGGATCGTTGCTTCGTACCATCGAATCTGACGATCCCACATTATTATTACCAACGTTCCAACGGAAATCACGTACATTGTACAATCTCGTGACAATATTTGCCATTCCAGCGGTATAGACTGTATCGAAAAGGATAAAAGATGAATTAGAAACGATCTTTATGAAACGAAAAATGAAAAAAAGAGGAAAAAATGGTCGTACAAGACGGGAGATAAGCAAAAGAGATGTGTAGATATGATCGATCTAAATATACGCAAGTAGTTAAAGGAGATGCTTATCGTCCTTTATCTAAAACACTATATCGCGACCGGAAGATTGAAGGATCGATCAAGTTGATCGATCTATCCCGGTACGTATCTACTCGATAGAGAGGTTTTCGTTGTTTTACTTGCGTGAGGCATGCTCGCTCGCTCGGTCGCACGCGCGCGCATATATGTACATACCAATACCTTTACGTATACAGCAAAACACTCGATAAAAAGCGGCAACTTATACACGGCAACAACATATAATAGAACGCGTACACCACCTTTTATCTTCTATTAGCCGTACAAGCGAGAGAGAAACGAGCAAGGTAGCGAGGGAGCGAGCGAGCCACTTCATTTTCAGTTATCATCGTTCATTTTTCCTATCGTGTACGAGCCATTCCATGTGAGAATCCATAAAATAGAAGCATAAAATCGCTGGGTTTTTTCCTTTTTCCAAACTCACAGCACTTCTTACGAATAGCTTGAAGAACCATTGAACCGTGTGAAATTTTAGCTACGCTATTATATACCCGTCACTGTACCCGTCTTGCAGAGCAAACCTTTGTTAAGAAGAGAAATGGCGTGAATTTGAAAAGAAAAGAAAAGAAAGAAAAAAGGGAGCTTGACTTACGTGGAGGGCGACCAAAGCTCCACATGCTGGAGTTGCGAACGTATCGAATACGGCGCTACCTACTACGGTACCGGTCCCAAGGTCCGACTCGGTTAGAAACGTTCCGACCAGATTGACGAACATTTCCGGAAAAGAGCTGGCCATTGCAAGAAAAGTCGCCCCGGCGACATCGGTGCTTATGTTCATGCCAACGCATATGCGATGAACAGCCGGCAACAGGTAATCGTGGCAAACGAACGCCGTCAATAGGAAGCAATAGAAGCCGAGGAAGGCGTGCAATGCTACAGCTCCGTGTCGACGTTGCTCGTGCGTGAACAAATCCTCCGGAAACTCGTGGATCGATCGACTCGTGCAGTTTCCTTCCGTTTCCGAATCTCTCGTAAAATACCCTTTTCCAAACAACCATTGTTCCTTCAATTCTCAGTCATCCTTCCCTCATCTCGTAGGAAGGAATATTGTAGGGACAAAACGAAAAGGTGTGTACGAAAGCAAAGTAGAAACGAGAAAAGAGAGAGAAGCGAAAAGAAATTTCCAAAATGTATCACTGTCCGAACCAAGATTCAGGTGCGGCGCAAATCGATCGATACTTTCGTCGAATTCCTCTTGTCTCGTTTCGTACAGTGAAAACATAGTGTATCACGGAGGCATAATTTGTTAAGTAGAAAGGTGGTCGCAAGGAAACTGTCGGTAAACGCGAAAAGTTTCAACGCGGCAATATTAATTACGTATACAACGAACCAATGTGTTTAAAACACTTACCGTTATCAAGAAGCGCGCAAGTGAGCGGGAAACATATCGATAACGCAATAATAGACGCGGCGCAACTTTTTGAGAACCGTGCGTTCATTTCGCATGTATCCTTCCGGTTCTGCTTGCTATTCCGAATGTCGTTCTTTACTGAAATATTACGTTAAACTGTTTCTTGAGAAACAGTCTGCGCATTTATTGTACATTCAACTGATTAAGCTCCCTTCCTAACAGCCATCCACACGCCGTTATTATCTATTTGACCATCGTTGACGTTGTCCTCCTCGGTGTTGATAGCAAAAACAAAATCTGATTTTAAAGCTGCGATCGTTTGACCAATTTTTTACCCGTAAATACCTGACACGAATTTCACGGTCCTGGTACTTACTTTTTACGTTTGCATTTTCGGTTGCGCGCGTCAGACACTGCGGTTGTTTCACAGTGAAATTGCACGAGGCAACGGGAGAAGGGGTGTGCAGGCACGACGTAAATAACAATCAACAAATCAATTATCTACATAACAGAGATTCTTTATGGAATGATTCCTTCTTCAACTCTTTATTATTTCATACTCGTTTCGACCATTTCCTTCTACGCATGCACAAAATATCGTTTATAATGGTTTTTATTGTTATGCAACATCCTATACACGTTCATGTATAAACAGTTCTCGCTTTGTATATATGATATGATACGATATGAAAATTAAATTGATCAGATGAATAAAGTCGATGAAAAGGTGGATAATGGAGGTGAGGGAGCGGTACGTAAAACGAGTACACGCGACTATCGTTGTTGTTGTCATCATGTGCTACCAGATTATTACATACACGTTGGTGCGTATGTACACACGTACAAATATAAACGAGTGTGTATGCATAAGCATACGTAATATTAAAATCTATCTGATGCTTCTTTCCAAAATTTCATTCGTAAGTACTAAAAAGTGTTGTACGATAGACATTTGTCGAAACGTGTTGGTTCGTATATTCTTACATACCAGCAATGTATTTTCAAATTTCCGAATCCTTTTCCATAGTCCTACGTGATAATTCACATGTGCGTATCGCATATATCGTATCACGCGATATATCGTATCGAAAGTTTCTCACGATCCCACCACGGTTCTTGTGTTTCCGATCATTTCCTACTTTACTACGTCTTTCTTGGACGACTTGTTTTTACCATACATAGCATCCAAAAACAGCCCGGAAAATACTATGAAGGTGCCCAACCATTGCCTGCTGGTCAAGCTATTACCGAAAATAAGTATCGAACCTAACACTGTGAAGAACTTTCTAGTTGTTGTTATGATGGAACAGGTTAACGGGCCGAATTCCGCAACGGTTAAAAATATAAAGTATTGTCCAAAAGCTCCTCCTATAGAAAAACTAACTATATGCCATATGGTAGAAGGGTATCTGTGTAAGAACTGGATGAACTCGAAAAACTCTCCAGAAGCTAGAATGACGATGCCACTGAAGATTGCAGACCAAGCGTTCATATTCAACATCATATGCCCAGACTTGGAATTGTGCTCTGCCTGCATTCGTTCTTGTATGGCGCTGGTTAAACCGTCCATTATTAGCGACATCAGTAACAGTAATTCTCCAAAGGCTGCTTGTCCTTCGTACTGCTTCTTCCCTGGATTTGCATCTTTGTACATAAATAAAGCTACGCCGATGACCACTAAGAAGATGAACAAGTACTTTCTAACTGGATATATCTGTAAGGTGACAAGTCCAATTGTTACCAACCGGTGAATTAAACGTTTATGTCGATATATATACATATATACATGTATGAAATACAAGCCGTACTTTGGAACAAGGTGGTGGTAAGTAGCAAGGAAGGAAGGTAGTAGGAAAGGAGTTAGGAGGAAAGTAAGAAGAAAAAAAGAAATAGATAGATACGAAAAGAAGAGCAGATACCTTGTTTCCCAGTAATACACCAAGTATCATCACGGGAATTGGTTTACCAGCTTTTCCAATCACTTGTGTTGGATAACTAACAAATTGCAACGCCATATTACTGCATACCATACCAAGCAAATACGTGAGAGCGGATAGCGAGTAATAGGTTCTCGGAGTAGTATCCTCGCCCTGTTTCATAATCGTTAATAACGTTGTCTTAGCAAATAAATAATTGACTAAACATTGGAAAAAGACCAAACTAAACGTGTAAGTAAATTTTTCACTATTCTTTTCATCTCCATATTGTCCTCGTGTGATTTTCTCTTGTAACATGGCAAAGTGAAAATAACATACAAAAATACCGACGGCGCAAAAAAACAGTTTGAAACGTTTCGAGGAAGCCATTGTAACTAGACGCGCGCCGATATAACAGACTAGCCACGAGTACCGTTACCCTTTCGATCATCGGTCACTATCACGATAAACAGAAAAATGTTGTTCTAGACATTCTACGCGTAGTCCGGATAAACAGTACGTGGCATTTAACGATAGGTTATGTTCCACGTGAATCACAAACGTGTACACATCGAGAAATCGACATATCGATAGATGGAGAAACCTTCGGATTTTCTCTGACACCTCTGTACGTCCCTTTCTTCTTACAGCGCCTCTACCGGCGGCTCTATCTAACCTCTATAGCGTTGCCGTATCTTAACAGTATAGTCTCCTCTGCTGTATACATATTTATATGTAGTACACATATAAATGTATGCAATTGTTACATGAATTTTTTCACAACGTGGTGTCGTTTGTCGCGGAGAATGACGAGTTTTGCCATTGGTTGTAACATTCGTTTCAGCTTCAAATCGATAAGTCTTCGTGGTTCTTCCAATCACCGTTAACTCATTTACAAAATTAATACGCCAACTCTGCGTACCGGAGGAATTTCCTTAGTCTCGAAAGAATGAAAACATCGATAGGGAAGATTTTCGAAGGTAAATCGACTGCGTTGTTCGTTTGCGCAGGCATATTCCTTTCTGTACTGTGTTCTGTAGCGGGAACCTCCGAAACAGATAATTCAAATGAGAAACCTGCCCATTGTGGCTTCCACAGACAAACAACCACAAAGGGCAATCGTAAAAGAGAAATACGCGATTACTGTCTGACAAATGACCATATACTTGGCATTTACGAAAACACTGTTGTCACTCGCATAAATCATTTGAAAAACATGGTAAGAATAGAGTCTGGCAAGTTTGTAATCGGCACAAACGATCCAATTTTCGTGGCTGACGGTGAAGGACCGAAACAACAAATATACTTGGATAGCTTTTACATGGACGAGACGGAAGTGAGTAATGGTGATTTTGCAAGATTCGTCGACGCTACCGGCTATCGAACGGAAGCTGAAAAATTCGGTGATTCGTTCGTATTCGAGGGTCTATTGGGAGAAAATGTAGCAACAGACGTACCGCTCGTTGCTGCTCAGGCTCCTTGGTGGGTACAAATAGAAAATGCGAGTTGGCATCATCCAGAGGGTCCTGATTCCGATATCGAGCGTACGTATACATACATACACACTTTGGCCCATTTTTCGATCCCACGGTAGTTGACGATTCTCGATCGAAAGTAGCAATAAATACAATCGCATAATTCAGATAGGATAGACCATCCTGTTGTACATGTTTCGTGGAACGATGCTGTTGCCTATTGCGAATGGTTGGGAAAAAGATTACCAACCGAAGCCGAATGGGAAGTAGCATGTCGGGGAGGACTCTCGGATAGATTGTATCCATGGGGAAATAAATTCGTTCCGAATGGTCGATACAGGTGAAGGAAGAAACGGTTGGAGGAATCGAAATTTCATAAGGAAAGACATTCCGAATAAATTTGACCAAATTGAAATAATTTCCAGGGCAAACACGTGGCAAGGTGATTTTCCGACTAATAACACGAAAGAGGATGGATATGAAAGTACATCGCCAGTTACAGAATTTCCACGAAACAAATATGGACTGCGTAATATGATAGGAAACGTTTGGGAATGGACGTTCGATTGGTGGACAGTCGACGTCGGGAATCGAGGCGGGTCGACCAATCCTGTACGTATCACATATTTACGTCTGCTTACTTTTCTACGTCTACTTACAACGCCAACTTTTCATTTCCAACATTTAACATATGTATATACATATTTTTCGCAGGCCGGTCCACCACATGGTACGAACAAAGTGAAGAAAGGTGGTTCTTACCTTTGCCACGAGAGCTATTGCTTTAGATATAGATGCGCCGCGCGAAGTCAAAATACTCCCGATACGACAGCTGGAAATCTTGGTTTTAGGTGCGCGTTGTCGGGGAAACGTTAATTTTTTTCCAGATATCTGCTATCTTATGTTATATTATACGAAACATTATTTTGTGTTTTCACAAGATCTTTTAGATTATTAAATGTTTCAAGAAAACAATTATGCGATTACTTGTGTTTTTTTTTTTCGCAAACCAGATTAATGATAACATAGTGTAACTAGCGTAGATAATGTTACACGTTGCGTTGCAGGCATTACTACTTTCATACCTACTTACTTGCATATAGATATATGTATAAATACTACATACATATGCGCATAACGAAATCGAGAGGGAACCTGCTTACGCATTTACTTCGGATGTTTTCGGCTCTCATCGACTTACTTCGACTGGGTTCATTTAAAATATCGGGCGTCGGCTTGTGATCGACGACGACGATGACGATGACGACCATTGAAACGACGCGTATGGTTTAATGTTTACATTTGTAAATTAACCGATCAAAATTTCACAAATAATCGTAAGCTGTCGTAGAAGAACCTTTTGTGTGTTGCTACACGATTAAAGCGAGGAAATACTTGGTTGTGAAAGGGAGTAAATTATACAATCTCTATGGGTTAACCTTTGCTGTCAAAGTGTGAAATGGAATTGTTTTGAAATAGCGAAATAATTGAAAACGCAAAGAAAGAAGGTTTCGGTGAAACAGAGAGAAACGAGAAAGAAGCAAGGAGGGACAGCATTGATTGAAAGATTATTTAATTTGACAGAGAAGCGAGAAATTTGAAGCGAGTTTGCGAGGAATTGGAAGAGAAGCGAAGTGAATTGTGTTGATTGCAAAATGAATTATGGAAAGAAATCTCCGAGTATGGGTACGCCATCGGTATACTCGCACGTTACAACGCGTAGCAGTGCAAATTTAAAGTCTTCGCGATCGATGCGTAGCGTGAAAACACCTTGGTATCAAAAACCGATTTTAACGCACGCCTACTTACTCGATATTCAAAGGGGCGCTATGTTGACAGCAGTATTTTCACTGGTAGGTGTAAAAGATTAACGATAATATCCTGGATCTACAATTGGTCTTTTAATAATCCATTCTCTTTTCTTTCCCCACCCCCCTTTTTTTTTCTTTTTTTTTCCTCATTTTTTTGTAGTGTTTAGCCATTTTTACCATTTGTACCTCGATATTTGACCTCTACTGTCTTTCCCAAGCTGCACCAGGTTCAACTCATTACGGTTATTACATAATATCCTATGAATTTGTTTACGTGGGTAATCAACACGGTGAGCATAATTCTGTTAGGTTTACATGTTTAACGCAACAGAAGCAAGTGGAGGAAGGAGAGGAATGGTGATTTGTAGTATGTTAACACGATAATTGATTTCAGTTCGTAACGCTCTTGTTGTCTTTGCCTTGTTCTCTATGCTTGGTGGAATAACAGTGTTTGCCTCGTCCCTGATGTTAATAGTTGCTCTGCGAAAGGAATACGAAAGAAAGATGGTGCCATGGCTATACAGTTTTGCTGCTTTTACAGTTTTCAGATTGTTTGCTTTTGTATTCTCTAGTACAGTAAACGACATGATATTTGGTTATAACATTGCAATGTGCATTTTATGGATGATATTTGTATGTTTTTCCATTTATGGATGGTTAATCGTGTATTCTTTGTACGTGGAATTGTGCGACCTTACGAGGCTAGAAGATTTGGCTCATTTAAGAGTAAGTTTTACCCTATTTGACCGTTCGAAGAACATTACTTTCTCTACCGTTGTTACTTTGTTCATCCGTCACATTGTTCTTCGATTCTGCATCGATTTTGCGATACCAACGATGGTTGAATTTCATTTTAGATTGGTACCATGCAATCGCTAAATGCATCTACTACACATTCTATCGCTGGTTCTCGGCCGACAACACCACATAGCGCGGTGTCGACGATGCCTGCGAATTAAAGCTCGACAGCATATAAAGAACTTTTGAATTCCGCTACCGTGTCGTGAACACATGGGTAGCGAAGAACTATCCAAATAATTTGATCATCGTGTTAAAATAGAGGAGACACAAGGGAGTGTACGACGTAGATGTATACACGGTGTAACGACACTGCCTCGAAGTAATGCGCAATGTACATAGATTAGGTCGATCTTTATCGGCTGGTCATATCCGTCCGTTTCTTTTGACTTCCGTCCAATCTATGGTAAAAAATAAATCGCCAAGTATATAAATTCACCTAATATAAGGTGTACTTAACAAGATTCTTATTATATAATTATTAATA